CTGTCTTAAATAATAGACAGTGTCCAGAAACAGCTATGTGGAATGTAACACTGTGACAGCTATCCACTGGAACTTAAAATGATTTAGCTGGACTATTTTTGCATATTTTCATCCTAACTAAATGAGGTAATGCCTATGCGTTCTTTCTTTGTCAACATTTTTTTTTAATCTACATAATTCCACTTAAAAAAAAAAAGAGTGCCTGTATAGATAAATCTAGATGTTGGTATTATGAAAACAGTCTCAAGCTTCTAGAAAGGCATTAAATATTTACATCTGTGAATAACGCAATTTACAGTACTTTTGAAACAGTCTAAGTAGATGGAAAAAGGAATAAAAATGGATAAGTATTACTTGACATATTAAGTCAAAGGAGAAAATGCACAGATTATGCAAATATGCCATGTGTACAAAAATGCTTAAGAATATGATTCTTTGGCCCTCCCTGGTGCTGCAACGGGTTAGGACACAACACTGCAAGCTAGCTGCAGCCACTTCAGAGAGAGTTCGATCCCAGGCCCTGGAGGTGACCCACTTGGCATGGCAGACCTTTCCTCTCTCGCCTGCTGCCCCCCACCCCAGCAGTGTTACTTCATTGATCTGCCTGTTTTGCTCCCCACTCTATCTCTGGTGAATCCTCTCATGACCCCCTTACCTATGGCCTATACCCCAATTCTGTATGCATAAATAAATAAATAAATAAATAAATTTTTAAAAAGAATATGATTCTTTAATCACTTCTTGACCTTTTGACTAAGATCAAGTATAACATATCATTCTGTAACTAGAAAAATAGCGTAAATCCATAAAATGTTAAATGGCAAAGAATTTAATAAATTCCACAATAGAAATCATGCTGTAGGTGATAAATGATTAATTCTTAAAAGAACCATAAAAAGTTATTATGGCCCTCCCTGGTGGCCCAGCGGGTTAAAGCACTGCAGTAAGAAACTAAAGCTACTTCCGCATGACTTCGATCCCCGCCTGCCCTGGAGGAGATCCACCTGGCGTGGCAGACCTCTCCTGAACCGCCCGCTGCTCCCCTCAGCAGTGTACTGCGTAGATCTTCCTGTTCTGCTCCCCACTCTGTCTCTGGTGAATCCTCTCACCCTCCGCATCTCTGGCCTGTATCCCAGTTCTGTATAAATAAATAATAAATCGTTAAAAAAAAACTATTATGGTTAAACATCAAGGGAGAAGGGAATAATCACTTCAGATGAAGAATACAGAAAAGACCAAGTATACCCTAAAGTAGTATTTAAATCCAAGTTCAAGTTCTGAAAATAAACACAATTACATGTACACGAAAACCTGCCTCTCAATACCACCAATGAATATTATTCTATCCCACTGTTTTCTTACTAGTCTTGATTTAGAATCCATAGTCAACTAAGGGAATGAGTGAAATGTACACATAATGACATTTACTAGATTAAAGTAAAAATTAATTGTGGAAGAAGTTCTGAGACAAATACTAAGCTGACACACATTTAAGCAAGCTGGGGCTTAGGTGTATCTGTAATTTTTGTAGTGAGTGATATAAATCAAATAAATCCATTGTTTGATTTCACTAAATGAGAGTAGTGACTTGAATAATTATAGTGAATTATCCCAAATTTTAACTTCTTAATATAGGAAAAGATTATTTTTTTTTCTGTAATTGGTTGTCCTATGTTTTGCATGAAAGTGATGATATTAACTTTTTAAATGTTAGTGAACTTTCAATATAGATCAAAAATAATTTGAACATTAATATGGCTAGCTTAAAACTGATTATGGCTAATTCAAATGGTGAGTAATCAATTAAAGATTAAAAGTAATTTCCCATTTTTTTTTTATCTAATTCCTTACTGGGGCTGGGCCCTAAACTTAACTAAGGCACTGGGGGTGGGCAGCCTGTTAACCCATGAACATGGAGGGGACATATTAATGTGCTTATATATGTGGTTCTACTGTATCTTAGTATTTGATATTTACACATAAAATTTCTTGGCTTTTTCCCTATTAAATGCATTCCAAATCAAATGTAGTATTTATCCACTACATAAGCTTTTTTTTATATAACTTTTCATACTGGTAATGGGAGTGGAATTTTGATTGTTGATTCAGAATTAATTGTACTCCCTTGACGAATGTTTGATATGTGTGTGTTCTAGTAACTAATGTTTAAAAACATTGAGAGAGCTATCAGTATTTGGATGAATATCAAAAATGTTATCTATAAATTTGGTTATTCATGAAATGATATATTTTTCCTAAGGGACAGAGGGAAAAGTTTAATCTAGTGCAAAGTTTGTGTCAGTTTAATAAAAAATGATACAACTCCCTGTAATTATATTGTAATTAAGAATTGGTATATTTAGATTTCAACATTTTTTTTTCTTATGAATATTAGGAACTTACCATCTTAAAGTTGGCCTAATTAGCCAGCATTCATATCATTTGGCAAATATTTTTGCAACAGCAAATAGTTCTGAACACTTCTTTTTCCTAATTTTTAGTCTGTCTAAATCAATGAAACATTGACTTTCATGCTCTATAATATTAAATTGTTTCAAAGGTAGATAAAAGAAATGAAAGTAATATATAGATTTTATTAATCTTTTGGGGAGCAGGAATACATATTCGGAGGAATATTTAAGCTTGATGATACATGAGAATTTTTTGGACTAATCCTTTTTGAAAATTAGTTATTTTAATTCACACTAACATCTGACCATTTTTTTTTTAAAGATTTATTTATTTGTACATACAGAAGTGGGGTACAGGCCAGAGGCTCAGGGGTGGTGAGAGGCTTCACCAGAGACAGAATGGGAAGCAGAACAGGCAGATCGATGAAGTACACTGCTGAGGGGAGCAGCGGGCGGGTCAGGAGAGGTCTGCCACGCCATGTGGTCATCTCCTGGGCAGGTGGGAGTAGAACTCATGCAGAAGTGGCTTTAGCTTCTCAGTGCAGTGCTTTAACCCGCTGCGCCACCAGGGAGGGCCACATCTGACCATTTTAATGAAATGAAAGCTATCTAAATGAGAATGTTAAATATCTATATTTAAATAATTAAATTTCATGTTATCACATTTATTAAAATTTTGTTTCTTGGAAGAAAATGAGTATATGCATAATAAATAATTGTCAGTTATCATACACACCCATTTAATATTTTAGTTTAAATGTATCCATAACTTTTAATGATTTTTAAATTAGTAATGTTTCTTATAGAATTCAGTGGAATTCATATCTGAATGTTATTACCATATTTTTCATTAATTTGAAATCATTTATGGCATTTAATATGTGATAGTTTAAACATATATATTGGTAAAACATTTTTTTTTTGAGAATTACTGCCAAAAACTTTTATTAGAGCAAATTGATTTCATAATGTGATTTTTTTCCCTACTCAGACACTAATAAGCCTATAGCATGATGAATAACACTCAAATTCTACACATGTGTCTGGTGACAGAAATGAACATAAATAATGATTTAGGTGAACTTATGACTAGTACTTTACATGGAAAAAAACAAGGAACTTCATGACAGCAAAGCAGTGTTTCATCTCTTCATGTGGAAAATCAGGACAAGTTAGGCTGTGTTCTCTGAAGTCCCAGGCTCTGGTGCTATGCTATACCCCCTCTCAGACTAGGTTTTCTAAAGGTCACTTGGCTATGTTGTTAAGAATGGAGGATTTGAAGTAGGAAATTCTTACAAATGAGCAAGAATAGCTGGTATGAGCACTAAAAATGCAGAGAAATAGATGTCTCCAGTAATTTTGAAGATGGTAATTGGATGTGAAAGAACTTTGGTAATTGGATGTGAAAGAACTTTGTTGGAGAGAGAAGGCTATAAGGGATGAGACTTCTGGCGTGATTTCAGGATGATGTTTTGAGGATTTATTGAGTTAGTGAGGTGCTAGAAGTGGATCCAATTTGAAGGAAAGATTGTAAGTTTTTTTTAAATTATATTTTTGAATGAATTACTTTTTCTTACTTTATCACTATTTCTTGGACAGTGGATGATTTCTCCCCTCAGGTGTGGTCACTGTACGTTTGTTTTTTAGTATGTTAGATTCTGGATGACTGTGAGATAGCCCGATGACTATGTCAGGAAGGCAGTTGGCTATGTGGATGCAGGCCTCAGAAAACAAACTTGGAGTTACAAATCTTAGACTCATTGGCCTAAAGATTTTAAAACCCACACTATATGAGGTCATGGCAAAAGACTGTAAACTGAGAAGAAAATGAGCGGAAAACCTGTATTTAAAGGTTGCACATGGAAGGAAGAAATAGAGAAACAAGGAAAACGCTTTCAGAAAGGGAACTAGCATTAACTGCTGAAGATTTTTTTTTTTTAAATAGAAGTATCATCATGTTGAGTGTCATGTTCAATATTAATTCTTGTGTAATAGTAACTATCTTTAAGAATCAGATTTGACTTCCAAATTTACAGCACCTGGGGTTTCTAGACCTTTTTATGATAAGAAATAATGGTTTTTCCTTTCACTTGACAGTTATGAGAAAGTATTAAGTAATGTAAAAGAAACTAAAAATTAAATGTTATGAGTAGTCTTATGTTGAATCCCACATCATAATCATGTGCTCTCTTAAAGGAGACTCACAGAGTGAGGCTCAATCACAATGTATTGTTTATATAGAGTTTAAATATATAAAGAAGCATTTTCTGTGCTTGAAAATATTGTTATGACTTCGTTACTCTGTTTTGGTGAAATGAGATTCTGATTATATGAGAGTCTTTTATAGGAGTGAGCTTTGGACCATAACTAGTTTGGAATTGTCTTTTTTTCAGAAGTTAACTACAAAAATAAAATTATCAAAGAAGGATAATTTGTCATATTAACATTGTATAGTCTAACTTGGAAGAGCTCAAATAACTTAAAATTTTTGTTTAATTAATAAAATAGGTTTTAATTTTTATACTATTCTTTGTGAGACAGGTGTTCATGAGACACCTGTCTATTAACATGTATCCTTCTTTCTCGTAGGGTTCCCTGGGGATACAAGGCCCCCAAGGTCCACCTGGAAAAGACGGTCAAAGGGTAAGTAAACTTGGAACAGCTGTCTAGCATTACTAATTTAGGAGTTAACTTATTTCTGAACATTAAAAAAAAAAATGTGATAAGCAGATGGACATAAGGAGATCACCTACCCAAAGGGTAAAATTTGATATTTTGACAGAACTCTTTAAACCTCAGAAACTTCTATGTTGTATTTCCAAGATTGGCAGCACAAATGTAGAGATTTAGTTGGGTGAAATGAATTACCTGTAATTTGATCTAGAGAGTTTGGTGTTATTTTGAAATTTTGAGTGAAGCTCATCTATACAGAGTTAAGTCGATAAACATTCTTTGTGGAGTTCTAGCCCATTTAGAAATTCTGTGAAGGTTGTGAATATTAACTACATACTTTATCCAAAATAAATTACTGACTTTAGTAACTTTTGTAACTCTCCTTTCAACACAATTTTTCACCTTTAAGATAAAATATGCAACAAGTAGATAAGTGTACTTGCAACTAGAAGTAGCAATTACCTTCTATCACTAGTCCAGTCTTCTTATCCCCTAATAAAAGGAACCCCTGCAGTGACAATTAGTAAGCATTGTTTGGACATTTTCAGCAATGGTAGATCCCCTTTCTGGGGGCATATTATCATTTTTATTATTTTCAAATAATTTCTAAATCTCAAAATATTTTATATGTGGTTTTTCACATGACTATTATCAACTTTTACTGCTTTATAAATGAAGGTTGTGTGACTCAGAGTTTAAATACTAGAAGCCCTTGAATTCAGGGCTTTAAACCAGATTCCTTTTTGCTTTATTATCACATAATATTAACCCAAAATCTGTTTATTAGTAATTTTTATTTAATATCTCCTGCTCTTCCTTCTCACAAGTAAGTCTGTTGCCTCAAATTAATGAATTCCTTAAGTATTTGATGACCAATGACATATATTAACAAGGCTACTTTTTATCACATTAATAAAACTCCAGTTCTCTTTATTCTTTCTCTTATATGGACCCTCAATATCTTAACAGTCTTTCCCAGGAAACAATCATGGAATTCCTAAAAGTGTTAGGAATGGGATTGAACATAGATGGCCTTAGGAAGAGTAATATGGCAAATATGCCCTGTACATAGTCAATGTGCTTTTATTGCAAACTTTGATTGAGCCAATGCTCTGTATATAGTATTGAACGTTTTTCTTTCACCAGTTCCTTCACTAGAGTACCTCTTTTCTTTTATGTTTTATAGTGTTAGAGTTAAGATTTGGAAAAGAATGGAATGAATGATACCAAAGTTTATTTTTTGGTTGTCAAAATTTTCTGTCTAGTTTTTATACCCTGTGGCCCTTGTAGTCAACCTGGTAGGGCTTAACAGTTTTGATAACTAAGAAATAAACATTTTGTAAATAAAGACTAACATTTTGGGGCTTCCCATAATGTACCAAATGCCTCAAAATTATCATTTAATTTATCCTTTACATCAGTCCAAAATGTTCTCTCATAAGAGAAACTGAGGTTTTTAGGCAAGTTGGATTGGATACATTGCTAATAAGTGGAGCTGTATTGATCTTTAAAGTTATTTACAAAATAGTCACATTTGGGCTCTACTCTCAACTTCTGTAATTCCTGTATGCACAGTTGTAGTTTTCCCTCCAGCTTTCCAGATCTTGTCTACCCAGCAGTTTATTAATCCACCAGAATCAAAGTTTTAAATAGTCTCAGGGGGACAATAAAAATTACCACTCCAGATATGTGCTTTTTCAGTTGTCTTAGGCATTTAAACTATTGAGGACAGAGGACTAGATAAAATGATCTTGTGAAGTTAATTTCCATTTCTCACTGTGATCACCAAGATGTCTACAACATCTAGGACCACATTTCAGAATTAATTTCTGCCTTCAAAATTCAGAGAACATTTTCCTTCTAGTAAGTAGCTCTTTCTAAAAACTAAGTAATTAGTCATATTCCCAAATAGATTTTTAAAATATGTAAGAAACTCTTGTAACTCACCACCATAAAAAACAAAACCCAATTTAAAAATAGGCAATAACCTGAGTAGACTTTAGTCAAAGAAGACAAATGACCAACAGGTATATGAAAAGGTGCTTAATGTCACTAATCATCAGAGAAATACAGATGAAGTTCATATCTGTTAGAATGCCTATTTTTAGAAAGATAACCAATAACAAGTGGTGGTGTTGATATAGAGAAAAGGGAACTCTTTTACTGTTGCTAGATATGTAAATTGGTATAACCATGATGAAAACAGTAAGGAAATCCATGCAAAAATTAAATGTAGAACTACTCTATGATCCAGCAATCTCAATTTTGGGTATATATCCAAACAAGACAAAATCAGTATCTCAAAACAATATCTGCACTCCCATGTTCATTGCAGCATTGCTTATTAACAAAGATGTGAAAGCAACTTAATTGTCCATTGACTGATGAATGGTTAAAAAAATATGCTTTAGATAATATATAAATTTTATATGTAAAATTTTAAGATGTCATATTTATATGATAGTGATTACTACTGAGTTTAGGGGAGGGATACTATGGGAGATGTTGGTCAAGGGGTACAAAAGTTTAGTTTTGCAAATAAAGAAGTTCTGGAGGTCTAATGTGCAAAAATGAGACTACAGTGAATACTGAATTGCATACTTGTAACTTGCTAAAATAATAGATTTTGTGTGTTTTTTATCACAAAGAAAAGATAACTGTGAGGTGATGGGTATGCTAAGTAGATGATTGTTGTAAATGTGTCACAGTACATAAGATCAATAATTTGTTCACCTTAAGTATAAAGAAATTTTATCAATTGCAATTCAGTACATCCTAGGTAGTTTGAAATAGAAGTTATGGAGCTAGGTGTGAGACTAGGTAGAGAGCATCATGTGTGAACTTGGCACCCAGTGACAGAACTGATTTTAGAAGACAATTTTATGGTAAGAACATTTAACATGATATTTGCCTTCTTACCAAATTCTTAAATGTGAACAACAACACACTTTGATTTGTAGTGACGTGTTCATTTCAGTGCTAGTCCTTTTATTTTAATGAAAACTTCTGTCAAATCAGATTTTCACACATCCTATTCTGGTACGGCTGCCTTTGGAATCACATAGTGAACACTAATCCTTGTGATAGCTAAATTTCATCTTCCAGATGTTAACTCCTAATATCATCTTTTTATTCTTGTTTTCAGTGAAAAACTCACAGCTTTATGTTACTTTACAGTTTCACAAGTTTACCTTCTAAGTCTTCATTAAAATCATTAATAAATCTTCAACAGAACAGGGTCTGGCAACCTTATGTAACACCAGCAAAGACTGCCATTTTATTTACCATTGATGTCCCCATGGCCTAATAATCAAATCAAGTACAAATATATTTGCTCTCTAACTCCTTCACACTCACATTTCATAATTTTGCTGGTAAGATAATTATGAGAGTCTTTGTCAGATACTAACTGAAATGAGAAACTATTCAAATGAGGCTTTTTAAAAAAATAATGTTTCAAATTGAAATTATACCCTATCAAAGTTTGCATTTCAGAATAAGGTGGATTAAAGAATAAATTAAACTTACATATTCTTCATGATAATTATAGAGAAACTTATTCAAATTGTGAAGCTCAACTACTATTTTATGCAAATTTACTCTGTTGATAAATGTGTATAGACTACATAAATTTACTTTCACTTAATTTTATCTTCTATCAAGAGTTGCATAGTGTCAGAAAATAAAGTAAAATTTTATAGATACCATGAGGCATGTATTGTCATTATTACTTCTCTTTCATAAATGCATGTTTATTAAGGGAAGTAACTAGAGCTTATATTATTGGTATTATCCATGTTTACAAATTATTATCTACAGCTGTACTTGGTGATTTATTATGTTTTATAAGCTACTTGGAATTAAAGCAAATTAATTGAAGATGTGAGCATTCTTACACATTTACATGTACATTCAGGTCCTTAAGTATCATCATATCTCCTTTGCTCAAGAGTTGAATAGCACTCAGCTCTTTTAGACATATTGGTGCATTTGCACGTATGTATATCCAGCCACAAATTCTGCAAGCTAAGATCAGTAATCTTTCCATTTCATTGACCCTTGTAATGAAAAAGAATAGAAATTATTTAGAATTTAACATATTTTATTAATCACCATTGTCGATAAAATTCTTATCTTTGATAACAAGTGTCTAACTAGGAAGTAATTGAATATCATTAAGTATTGCAATGAAATATAAAGTATGTGGCAGGTTTTATACACTTACCCTTAGACATAATGTCTTTAAGGAAACCAGAACTTTTAATTTCGGGTAAATCATTGACTTGATGTTCCTCAGTGATTAAACAGGTAAAAGCTTCTCCTCTATTAATATCTCACAATTATGGTGAGGTCCAAACATGGGTGTCACATGTACACTTTGAAAAATATCAACCATTATAAGTAAATAATAAAATACTGCTTTTTTTAAAGATTTATTTATTTATTCATACAGAACTGGGGTACAGGCCAGAGGTGCAGAGGCAGTGACAGCATTCACCAGAGAGAGAGTGGGGAGCAGAACAGGCAGATCGACGAAGTACACTGCTGAGGGGAGCAGCGGGCGGGTCAAGAGAGGTCTGTCGTGCCATGTGGTCACCTCCAGGGCAGGCAGGGATCGAACTCATGCGGAAGTGGCATTAGCTTCTTAGTGCTGTGCTTTAACCCGCTGTGCCACCAGGTAGGGCCAAAAATACTGCTGTTTTTAAAGCATAAGCATTTTGATTGGTTAATTCCTTTTTCTCTTTAACCCTTTGTTTAGTATTTCCTATAAGCAGAATAAGCACATTATTTATTCCAAGTAAAACATCAAATTTCCATTTAAAATTTTACTAATAGGTTTTCCTTTTTTGAGCTGCTGAATTTTAGATTATAATGGTTCATTTAATAAAATATAATAACATGCTTCTGTATCTTAAAAGCGGCTCTTAACACCAACATCATTGGGTGTCAATATGTATCTGAAATTTGTG